AAAGAAAAATTCAAACTCTAGAAAAGCCGTTGTAAGGTGAGAAGTCCAAGTTCAATCTAATCGGAATATCAAAGAGATGGCAAAGATCTGTCCTGATTACAGTTGATAAGTATTCCCTTGATGAGAGGATTTATGAAAGAATGATCAATTTAACAGACAAAAAATGTGCAGGACCCTAAGATTGTTAGTTGAAGCTAGATGATTTTTAAAAAAAACTTGCATGGTTTTCAGTTTCACATCGAGCATAATAAAACATTTGATGGAGCATCTGCTGCATCTCTCATGGATGTTTTTAAAACTGGGAATGGATGTCTCTTTCCAAAATACGACCTCTTGTCGAAAAGCAAATCAATGCAGGAATCACATTGTGTCAGATTTAACCCTGCTGCTACAGGACTGCAGGGGTTATTCTGGCCTCAACTCTAAGAATCTGGTTTTAGCCCACTAATTAAAAAAGGGGAAGGGGGAACGAAAGGGAGATTGCTTCTCAGGCTGTTTAGTCCTCAAACTCACCAATGCAGATAGTTAATCGAATAGCTCCAGTGGTCTTCTATATGCCAACAAAATGAAGAAAAGCACATTCCTACGTAGAGCCAGGGTAATTTCATTCCACATATGTCTGCAGTGATGTGAGCAAGAACAGACTGCTCCATCACAGGCATGTTGTTTAAATTCCAGCCACTATCAAGGTATTCCTGAATATTGAACAGAACAGTCACAGGTTTATACAACATGGGAGTAAAAAAACCAAGAAGGTAAAACTGCCAAAAGAGCAACAGAAGAAAACCATCTTTCCCAACTGAAAAACAGAAGAAACAGGTCAATGAATGAAAAAACAAAACCTCCATTGCCTTTGCTCCTTTCACAAACCTTATCTGACCTGCTTTGTTAAAATGAGACTTTTTTTTTTCTCTTTGGAAGTTATTTATTAACTTCTACGATAAACCTGTGGCTTTTAATGTCTGATCACAGCCAAATTCATTTATTCAAAACTCTGATGTAATCCTCCTCTTCAAATACTGGGCCAGATACACAAAACAAACACTTTGCAATCCCCCTCCATTACTGTGCTTTGAACCAGACAGACTTATTTAATCAAGAACTGCAATACAAACATACACAGTGAACTAATAAAGACCTACCTCTTCTTCTAGTCTAACTTTAAATTTCCCACCCCGAACTGGGAAGCCACTGCCAAACTCCTTCGAAGCAATATCAGCTCCATATTCTACTGTCACGTCCTCTTCAATGGTACTAACAAGTCTCCAGAATTCTTTTTCAACCAGCTCGGTGGGGACCATCTATGTATGAGAAGGAAAACAAGGAGTATATCCTGAGGAATCAACATGTAAAAAGCATATGCATGAAAGCTATCTCAGGGAGGAACCTCCACTAGAATCATAGAATGGTTTGGGTTGGAAGGGACCTCAAAGATCACCTAGTTCCAACCCCCCTGCCATGGGCAGGGAAACCCTCCACTACACCAGGTTGCCCAAAGCCTCATCCAGCCTGGTCTTGAACACCTCCAGGGATGGGGCAGCCACAGCTTCTCTGGGCAACCTGTTCCAGTGCCTCACCACCCTCAGAGTGAAAAATTTCTTCCTTATATCCAATCTAAATCTCCCCTTTTTCAGTTTAAATCCATTGCCCCTTGTCCTATCACTATCACTTCACTAGCTTGAAGTATTTCCCCATTTCAAAATCATTTCAACTAAAGAGAAAAAAAACACAGAAGAAATGTGGTTCCATGCAGAACTCTTCCTTACAGACACTTCAAAAGTGGTAAAAAAAAAAAACCAACCACCAAACAAGGCGGCAGTGAAACAAGAAACCATGACACCAGCAGAAACAAGGATTCACTGCCTCTGCCACTGAGTTCTGAGAACCTCTAATTTGGGATTTCATCCCATTCAAAACTGGAATTTCCCTCTTCCCCTCAAAAGTTATATATTTTAACTAAGAACAAAAGATGAACTCTACATTATGGCATCAGGATAAATACATGAACATACATGTACTGGCATGTTAAAATAGTCTGACTTGAAGGCATCTGCCATTTCTCCAAACGTGCGCAGTGTATAGTCTCTTGCCGCTTGTTCAAAACCAAATGCTTCTTGAGGCTTATTACACTCCTGCAATTGAAAAGATCATTATTTCTAGAATGCATTAATAAAGACAATCTGTGCTCAGATTTTACACAAGCTGGCTGCTATTACAGCATCTGATGGGTAAGAAGGCAGGACACCTGACCAAAACGAAAGGACTGCCCCAAGACGCACAGCGTCAGAAGAAGAAACTGCTCCGCTTCGTTCACCAAATCACAATATTTATTTATTTCTAAATCTGCACAAACATCCTTGCAGTAATACGCCTCATTTCTCCTTCCTCTAGCAGAGCAAAGTGAAAGAAAGATGCACAGACCTCGACACTGAAGCACCTGGCGAGACTCCAATTTTCAATACAGAGCAAAGGTGCCAATTCAAATCCAACGTATTCTTTAATGGCACATCCATTTCTGGCTCCCAAATATTAAGTCATAACTTTCAATTTGAAGCATGCCCAGTCTTCATTTTGGCTTTACCCTCTATCACTTTGTTTGCACAATCTTAAGCAATAGCAAATCATATTTTCAATCCCCAGTATTGAGTTTAAAAAAAACCCACAGACCAAAAAAGAACCTTCAGCCTAACTTTGATGGTTTGTCGGATTACCTGAGCCAAACATTGGGGACACCTCCAGTCCCCTTTGGGAACATCATGAAGGGGTGGAATTAAACAAAAAGTATGGTAACTGTCATCACAGCCATCACACAACAGGAGACGGTCCTCATCGTTACCACTGCCACATAAGAGACACACATACAAATCCACCTGTAACAAAAAATTGCCAGAGTGGGAATTGGAGCACTTCAGGTAACTCATGGTGAAACAGCACTTTGGTAACTTGGTCATCTGTGACTTTGGTCAAAGCTTATTTTCACTTTATCCCTGAAATGGAAATGAGATAAGCAAACACCAAGTATTTCTGTAAAAGTTTAAATAACTCCCTTCTGTTATTTCAGGAAGGACCACAAGAGTTGCATGCCTTTCCATGGTTTTTTTTTGAAAATGGCAAAAGCTTTGATTCGGCAGCCAGGACAGTTTACGTCAGCAGCACTTGGCATTCGGCAGGTATAACGTAACACCTGTCAAGGGCTCACAAATCCTTTTTCTTGTTGCTCTCCCACGCAGTGCACGTGCACAGATGTTTCATCTCATCCTCTGCTGAGACCACCTGTCTGGAGCCTCAGAAGAGAGAAAGGGGTTGCTCTTGGTGGCAGTGGTCCTCTTTTTCCCCACAGTCTACCAGCCAAGATGTTCCTTTCAACTGAGAAGGGCACCAGCTTTCTCGCAGAGCTATGCGCTTTTGGGCAGTGGGGCAGCTGTTCAAGAGGGCTGAGGGAGGTTTCACACAGCAGCTGCCAAGCCCCAAGGAAAAAGTTCCAGCACTACCCATGCGGGAAGGGCTGTCTGCTGCCTATCCTACACTATACCTTCATTAGCAACAGGCTGAAGGCTCTTCTCAAATACAGAAGGGAGCTGAGAGGACAAGCAGACCCTGTTGTCTTGCATTGTTATAAAAAGAAGCAGCATCTCCTGCTCCTCCTCACAAGCTTTCTTTGTTTGGAGGTGGGGGGATCAGGCTTCTAGTATATGCACATTTATTTCCAGGCATCCAGCTAAAGCACATTTTGGGGTTTAGGAATAACCCAAGTAGTGGTAGGGACAAAGAATCTCAGTATCATCTTCTCAAAAGTGAGACAAACAACCATTGCTTTCAGTTTGAGGTCTTTTTGGAGCAGCAGTAGCGGTGCATGGAGAGTCGGAGCAGGAACAGAGTTGTTTTCTGAAGAAGCATTTGAACAACAAAGCTTCCAAGTCAGTGCTGAAACTGTGCACTAAGTGGCAGGTCCAGAGAGCCGGGTGCCAAACCTCGCATCAAGCTCCCTTGAGGTTAACGAGCAATGGGGAGAGTGACCAGTTCACAGAAGAACCACTTCTATTTGGACTCTTATTTCAAAAGGCTTACTTTGAGACTGCACCTTGGAGACAGAAAACAAGTTACTTCGCTTAGAGATAGTGAAACTTAACTATTCAGTTGTTTTCAGCTTTGTGGCGGCAGGAAGATTTACGAGTGTGTACTTCCAGCAGGCACAGATGCTGCTTTGTTTCAGCCCCAGGGTCACACGAAGAATACAAGAGCCCGTAGTGTGATGTAAGTGGCATGAGATTTCACTACAGACCCAAGAGAAACCCAGAAACACCTGCAAGGAATGGGAAGCAGCAGGAAGGCAGGGTGTACTCACAGCATTCGTGGGTTTTTTAGATCGGACTTTGCATTTGTCTTTCTCTGGCTCCCCGGCATGTTCTCTCTTCTCGGAAAGCTTCACTGCACTATGCATTTCCTTTTCTGGTGCAACAGAACAAAAATGAGGGTGTTACAAAGCACTTTAATGCTTAGCATTACTTGTTCTTATTTATTTTATTGGTTATTACTTGTTAGACTGCGTAACTCCAAGTTATTTGTTGAATCACTTGCTATCCCCATATACACACTTGTTCCAGTTAGCTTCAGGCAAAATCTGAACGCTTGCAATGCCTTCAGAAGCTGTATTATCAGAAAAACCAAGCATGCCATCAGGAGAGAGCAATCACCAGCACAACCCACCCTTTGGGGCAGGTATTTTAAATCCCATTTCAATTAATTTAAATTAAATTACTATCTTCATAAGCAAATATTTTGTTTCCATGGGGTGGTTAACAAATGTGGCTGAATTACTCCACTGATTTTACAGCAAAACATCACACAGAGACATGAAACAACACTACAGGTTCCTGCAATGAGCTTCACACTTCAGTTTCCTATAGCAGTCGCTTTCATGAAAAGATACCGTCAAAGACGAGCACGCAGCAGACGTGGCCTGACAAAGAAGCAGTTCCTCTACGTTCTGACACTCCTACCTAATTTGGGCATGTCTCCACTCAAGTCTTCATTCCCAACATCATAAAAGAACCAAAAAAACACACCCCCAAATCCATACAACAGAGTGTGAAGAATCCCAGGACTCTGCTGCTGAAGACAAGGGGGCAATGAAGACAAGCTAAGAAATGAAGTTCTTAGCTGAAGTTACAAGTGAGCTGGAGATCTTTACACCTGGACGTGAGACAATCTGAAGCATTTCTTGGAGTCAAATTGAAGCAATTTAAAAATCATACTATGGGACCTTTATTGTGAAGTTCATGACATACTATCTTTTGCCTTCAGGAGTTTCATTTCCTGATTTCAAACTCAAATTCTTTCCTAGAAGTCTCTGAAATCTGACACATTCTTGAAGGAGTTTCCCCTATTTAAAGCTAGTGGATTGATGCTAGCTATTTAAACACAAAATAGAAATATGGCTCAAATCTCATTTCTGATTGCTCCATAAGAGACACTGATGTTAAAAAAGTAGATTTTTTTTTTTTTTTCCCAACTGAGAATATCATCTTCTCCAAGATGATATTCTTGGAGAATAGCAAGAATTACTTACACTTACACTCTAGCACTTACAAAACAAACAAAAAGATTTCAAGGCCATAAAAGAACTTCTACAATAAGTCCCAATTTAAAAATGAAGTTAACAGAAGTCTTTTTTTAAAATACTTTGAATTGTTCCAACTGCTGAATTTAACTCTGGTCTGAAAATGAGTTTGTACGAAGTAACAGAAACTGCATTCACATTTTGTTTCATTCCCCACTTGTCACTCACCATTTTCACCCTTTGGAGGTGCATATCCCATTCTACGTCTCAGATTATGAGTTCTGGCTTCTGGAGGGTCAGATTCAGTTTTAACAGTGGTTGTCTTAAAAAAAAAAAAAAAAAAACCAGTCATGTCCTTAGATGGAACACTTTGGTTTCACACTTGCATTTGGGAAAATGCCATCTAAACTCACGGCTGCTTGCCCAAGGATGGACCGACCGTTTTGGAACATACAGCTGGACACTGCACGCCACGCTGCAGGAAAGGCTGCGTATCCAAAGAGATCCAACCTGCACCCAACTCCTCCCGCCCCTCAGAGCTGCTGTGGCTCTGAAGAAGGGAAAAACCTGGCCACGTCCAGCACTCAGCGATGTCCTAACAAGAGAGTGCCTAGTAAGATCGAAATCATTCTCTGCAACTCTCTACAGTTGAGGAACTTTGGTGGCAGACCTTGCAAGCTTTTCAAACACACATTTCAATACTCTCAATAGCTGAGAAAAGAACTGGGGAAAAAAGACAATTTTGACTTTCAAACTCAAAAAAGAGCAAGGAACTTTCCTAGATTTTCTGTTACTCTAGAGAAGCAGAACACACTCCGGTCTAAGTGGGGAAGTCAGTCGGTGTATTGTGGAGCTGTCAACACATGATAATGTTTTTTCCATTTAATTCTTGTATTTCTTTCCTGAAGTTTCAAGACTGTGGGAGAACAACTCTTAAATTCCTCAGCGTAAAGATGGGTTTCTCTAACATTGTATTTTTTAAGCCTAATTTCTTAAGGAAATGAGGTCATGAAACCACTCTCTTGCTACTCACACAAGCCAGTCCGTTATTAACCGCTCCCTGAACCCCAAATAACGGCACTTGTTGGCCTGGCTCTAAAAGCATGACTGTCAGCCGGAACGCACCATCAGGTATTCCAAGGGGCAGGGTTTGCTGTTGTTCTGCTTGGGGTTTTTTCTAGGCTTTTTTGGTTGTTTGGTTTGGACTTTTACAGAGGTGGTTTTGGAGTTATTTACTCTATCTTTTGCGTTCTGTTTCTCCAAATCACTGTCTCCATGAGACCAGGCAGAGGTCTCATTCCTTAAGATAAGCAAAAAAAATGCTGCTCGTGATACTTAGTGATACTGAATGAGGCTCAGTTTGCACTGATCCTTGAGCAATGCAACAACAGATCCCTCATCTTCTGCATCTTTAACTTCTATGACTTGCGTCTGCAATCTGTGCTTAAGCCTCTACTGAGCTTCACAAGAGCAGCTCTTTTTTCCAGCCTGAGCCTTTTATCGCATCAATTCATCTCACTTTTACTCCAGCAGCATTGTGCTGGGCTTTTACACTTCTCTCCATCAACTATCTAAATCCGTTGCATTTCAAAACCAGCCGAGGACTGTCATTTCCCTTTCGAATTACGAACACTCTCTCCTGTTCACTCAGCAGGTAGGAAAGGGCGAGGTAAAACTGTACGTGCCTTATAACTGCAAACTTACACTTATCCCACAGGCTGTAGTTTTGGCTAGTAAGAATAATTTACGGTCCTTTCCTGCAGTTCCCTTACTGTAAATGCCAACAGTAGATGGTTAGCCTTTGGAAAGCAGGAAGTGTCAAACCTGTACACACGAGAACATACTTAGGTTTTACAATTTAAGACACGGACAAATCCTTGTATATCTCGTTTGAGCAGAAAGGGGAGACATGTTAACCAAACTTTACTACTTTGCAACCAGGTCAGCGCAAAAAATCACCTGCTTGTAGCTTCAATGTAGAATAAAATGGATCTATCTAACTGACTTAGCTGCCTTTGCACTGAAACAGCAGAAACATTAACAAATCCTAACTTTTGGAAATTATTGTCTTTAAACACTACAGCTCTTTACTAAGCGAGTCAGTCCATCCTGCTTAATTCAGCTTTAGCTCTGCATCTTTCAAGCCTACTCATAATCAGGTATCTTCTTTCCACAAAATTAGGTGCATGACACCCATAGTGCTCAGAGAAGGAGCTGAGAGGGAAGCCTTGCATTTTGGCTAAGTAGGAGCAGTTTGTTTCCACAGAAATGACAAAAATTCACACCCTTTGTGTGACAGCCCTGTCAGAAACAACTAAAATTTTAGTATCTATTTGCCCTGCAGTTCGTCTTTAAAGGCTATGGTAGAACGAGCATCTTTCAACCACAGGCAGATATTTCAAATGGAAAGTGTCAGATCAACTCCTGAGGTTCTCTCAGAACTGTAAATCTCCTTGTAACCAGGTATTGGAGTGGAAAAGCTGTAGGAAACCTTAATTGTAACTTATTAACTAAGAATAATCATAGGTGGAATTTTCAACAACAAAGCTGTACTACTTGGTGGTAATAAAGACCACGA